CGACCTACAAAGCATGCGTGCCAAGCACGAAACTGATCTAGCAGCAACGCGCACCGCTAATGAAGCCGACCTAGCGGCACTACGCGCCGAGAACGAGCGCATTCACACCCAACTCCCTCGGCGTCCCTCAGATCAACCCCCTCCGCAGAGTAACCTGAATAAGGACGAAGGGCACTCGGTTTCACAACCGCCAACACCGGCTAAGGCACCGACTCCCAAGCCTCCCACACATTGGTCTCACGCGCCGACGAACAGGTCGACGCACGACGTCAGCAACGCCCCTGCCCACGTCACGGGGAATCAAACGACCTTCCGCCGCCATCCTTTCGTGGACGGTATCATGGAGACACCTCTCCCCTTTGGGCGGAAGCCTTTCCACCTCGACCGCTACGACAACACAACTGACTCGGACGAGCATATCAATCTATACACCACCCAGGTAAAGAGGCTGAGGCTGCAAGAGTGTTCGCAAAAGCAGCAATAAAGGCACTAAAATGCAAGACACTTCATATTTGGTAAGCTTCCATACCAAGAAAAATCAATTAATGCCTATAACCGATGTCTATAGATTCATTTCCCTTTTTGAATGCTTTCGGCAAGTGGTAACTTTTTACAATGTCTTTGCCCAATTTTTATCGAGCTAATCTATTAAACTTTTGACAATGTGTACTCTGCAGCTCTATTTCTTCATTTCCTATTGCCTGTCCAATCGTTCCAGAATAACGTGTGACGAGATCTTAGTTAAAATTTTTCGCTTTCATGACTTAGTTTCTATTTACTAGGGATCCCAACCTTCTTCGTTATAATATTTGCTATCCAAAACCCTGTCTCTTGTGAAAAGACCCTAGTTTTGTTAATTAATGCGGGTGAAATTTTTTTTCTAAGCTTTAATTAGTGCCACATTTTTCTTGTTCCTACAGAGTAGTATTGGTATCGGTCAGTTCTTTTAGCTAAACGTTTCATCTTTGCAAATTTGTGCAGATGGTGTCAGCTTCTGCATTGTTGACATGAGCAGTATATCAGCTTGAGATCGTAATTCTACTGCTAGACTTCCTGCCTGTATTCAATTATTGTACATATTTTAGGTTTGTAAATTTGGAGTATGCGGGATTGATCCATAAAACATTTTGTCAAGAGTCATTAAGAGCGTATTATTTATTATTTTTTACCTTATTTTTAAAGAAAGACAATGAGGCGAGAGTACAAAGTATTAGTGGAAGAGTGGAAGTAGTGATCGAATTTTATGATGGAACGTGTGATAGACATCCCTAATAGTAAATGGAAGAACACATTTTTTATTACAGTTCCAATGGCAATATTGAGTGTCACTTTCTCGTTGCCCGTATTTACGCGGGTCCTTGTTTTAAGTTTGTAGTTACATTGCACCGACTATGTTGTAAATATACTGACTTCTTTTAGATTTGTAAAATATTAAACTTAGACAAGTGGTTCAAATGTTTGGGGAAATGATATTTACACTTTAATTTGGAAGATATACAACATTCGAGTTGTGTAATAGATTCAGTTGAAGTCAAAATAATCTCAAGCGGAACGCAATTGGGCAACGCAAAAGGGTCCAATTCTAGGATACACTTTGATGCGCTGGTATAGGACTGAATGATGCACTTAGGTGTGTTTGGGTAAACATTTCCTTAAGCACTTTTAGGAAAGAAAATAATGAGATAAATTTTTTCATGCATAAGTTAATTTTAACATGAAAAAGTTTTGGTGTCAATTTTTTTTTTATGAAAATGTTTAATTGAATTTTTTATTATTTTTTTTTCTAGAAATATATGAAAACTACCCAAACCAGACTTCCTCTTCAATCAGGTATGGTTATGATGCGTAAAGTTAATACAAATATACTTTTGAGCTAAACAACATACATGGACGCGAGGTAGTCATTGCCATTTTGAAACCAGTCAAAATTTGACCAAAAACATATAAGAACAAAATAATCATTTTAAATAGGGAGATAGAAAAAAAAAATTGTCTACAGCATTTGCAAACACGAGTCATTTGCTTTTAAGATTCTGTCAGACTTTATCACTGTTACATCTCACGTCCATAATATTGGTAAGGTATGTATGAACCTTAAACATTCTTACGCGAGGTCGAGAACGAACCTCGTTAAAATTCTGAGGTCGAGTACGAACCTTAAACATTCCTACCCGTGGTCGAAAATGAACCTCGTTAAAATTCTTAGGTCGAGTACGAACCTTAAACATTCCTACCCGAGGTCGAAAACGAACCTCGTTAAAATTCTGAGGTCGAGTACGAACCTTAAACACGTAAACCCGAGGTCGAGCACGAACCCATGTACTGTCCTTAAAGGTCGAATACGAATCTTAATCAAATCATTCACATAAACCTCGAGGTCAGGTACGAACCCCGGTACTCTCGTTAAAGGTCGAATACGAATCTTAATCAAATCATTCACATAAACCCTGAGGTTGGGTACGAACCCCGGTACTCTCGTTAAATGTCAAATACGAATCTTAATCAAATCATTCATGTAAACCCGAGGTCGAGCACGAACCCCGGTACTGTCCTTAAAGGTCAAATACGAATCTTAATCAAAACTTTCTCATCCGAGGTCGAGAACGAACCTTGTGAAGGATTACCTAACCCTATCTCAAGGTCGAATACTAGCCCGAACCTCGTCCAAGTTTGAGGTCAAACACGGACCTCAGCACCCTTATTTAAAGTCGAGTACAAACCTTAAGTTCGTTCAACAGAATTCAAACCCGAACCTCGTTAAAGGTCGAGGTCAAATACGGAGCTCAACATCCTTATTTAAGGTCGAGTCCGAACCTTAATAAAATCGTTTCAACCAAATCTGAGGTCGAGTACGAACCAAATCCGAGGTTGAATACGAACCTCGACACTCTTGTTAAGGTCAAGTCTGAACCTCATCATCCGAGGTCGAATACGAACCTCGATGCCCTCGCCTAAGGTCGAGTTCGAACCTTAATTAAATCATTTTACTCAAAATTTAAGGTCGAGTACGAACCCTAACACGCCCATTTAAGGTCGAATACGAACCTTAACACATTCATTTGAGGTCGAATACGAACCTTAACACGTCTATTTAAGGTCGAGTACGAACCTCGACATGTTTATTCGAGGGCGAGTACGAACCTTAGTATGCTAATCTGAGGTCGAGTTCGAACCTCAGCATGATTAAGGTTGAGTCCGAACCTTCACAAAAATTATCTAACAGAAAAATCCAAGGATGAATTCGAACCTCGGTATGACAAAGGCTGAGTCCGAACATTCGCAAAGTTACTTAATGAAAAATCCGAGGTCAAATTCGAACCTCGGTATGATTGAGGTCGAATCCGAACTATAGTACGATTAAGGACAAACACGAACCTTAACACGATTATTCGAGGTCGACTACGAACCTTAACACGTTTATTCGAGGTCGAATACGAACCTTAACGTATTTGTTTAAGGTTGAATACGAACCTTAAACACGCGAACTTGAGGTCGAGCCCGAACCTCGGAATGATCGAGGTCAAATCTGAACCTCGGCACTACTACTTAAGATCAAGCTTGAACCTTCACGAAAATCTAAGGTCAGGTTCGAACCTCGGCTTATTACGGTCAAGTTTGAACCTTCACAAAAATTACTTAGATCTAAGATCGAATTCGAATCCTGGTTCGATTGAAATCGAGTTCGAACCTTCACGAGAAACTACTTAAAATTAAGGTCGAATTCGGATCTCAGCGTGAGCTTTCACAAAAAATGAGAGTGTACAACAGACATCAAACGTGTGTCTCAAAATGTGTGAAAAGCAAAAACCAAACGCAAACTCATGAAGGCAGAAGAAAAATATGCATATACAAACAAAGTTCCCAGAGTTCAACGCTTGAATCCAAAACAGAAAATCAAAGCAAAGGGAAAATTAAACTAGGTCATAACAAAATTGGCCTACGTAGAGGCATTCTCGCAGGAGCTATCCTCCACGTCGTCCTCCTTGACGAGCTCGGTCTTAACTCCTCGACCTACGGCCTTCAGAGCTCGGGGGGCTAGTGTACTGACCGTACTTCGCACCCGGGCTCCGAGCCCGGATTAGCGATACAAAGCCACCCCGGGCACACGCTGAGCGACGTCAGCCCGGTATTTGGGGCCCGGTATTTGGGCAGATCATTCCCGAACCCGGGGATCTCGTCCCAGATCAGAACCGCCCTCCAATTATATCATATCATATCTCATCATATCATATCATATCATATCATATGATATCTTATCATATCATGTCTTATCTCATGCCCAAGGCCCAAGACAACCCTAATTCACACAAAGGTATGTGCATTATTTATACGAGACTCATACTCCCACAAACACTAACTTTAGCATCGGAGTCTCTTTTGCAGGTACCACCCCCATCTTGGAGCACCAGCGTACCAGTGAAGGAGGCTCGCCGATCTTACCCGGCGGATCAGCTCTACAGCAGATTTCCGGTAAGAACAAAACCTAATAATAAAATCAATATGAAAATACAAATTATATATTTATATGTGTGAATGTGATGATGATGAATCAAATTAATTTAAGAGTAACTCTTGATAGAGTTACTTCTCTTAAATGTAATAACTCATGATATACGTTAAATTTCAACGATCTAATCGTTAAATTAAAAAATTTTAATGTATAAATTAAGTTCATGATTTTTTTTAAATATACGATACTTTGTTATATAAATTTAAATTAATATATAAAATATTTTTATGATTATCTATCAATTTATGTTAATAAAATAAATTATCAAATAATTTTTAAAATTTTAAATATATATATATATATATTTAATATATATATTAAAAATTTAATTTAACGATTAGATGTTTAAAATTTAAAATACACTATAAATAATCATGAATAATTAAGTGTAGTATCTATAATTTGAGCATCCTCTTTCTATATATATTTGTTTATTGCTTCCAATTAATTAAATTATTGAATTGCTTTGGACTCTACCAACTCATACTGAAATGAGGGGGAATGGGGTGACTGAGTGATAAACTAAACACCAATAAGTTAGGTTACATGCGTGGCTATTATATTGACAGAAAGTGAAATTAAAGAGACAGAATTACGTAAGGATATTATTCTAAAAAAATCTGATGTCTTCTCAAATGAGGTAGAGAATAAAGAATAGGTGCATATACATGGGTGTGGCACGTGGATAAAAACACAGAATATGAAAAGTGGATGTGGCAAGCAAAATTATTCGAAGGAGGACAGGGAGAGCAATGAAAGGTGTGACGCGGATTTCACCAACGTTCGCTTTCAATAATGAATTTTGGTGAACACGACAAATTCCAAGCTTCTTGGTGCGGATGCACTCTCACTCTCACTATTGAACAAAAAGATATCTTCTGCTAATTCTAATTCTCAACTTAAATGTTTATCCTTCTCTCAACTCTAGGTCCCCACTCCCAATTAAATAATATTGCCATCGTAATTTACATCTAATAACTACTCTATTGTAAAAGCCAAGATTTGCCAAAAATTTAAATTGAAAAATAAAAATATATACAGGATAAACATATATTCTTTGTTTCCTTTCGCGTATTTGATCTTCTGAAATATTTTTTTTAAGACAGATCTAAGGAATATACAATGTAATTAATTAATTGAATGACATAGTAAAGATAATTTTTTTTATTAATCATCTATTATTAATATGAAATATTTACTACAAGAAACATTAATTAATAATTTATTTAATATTTAAAAAATATGATTCCTATCCTAAATAATTTAATTAATTGAGGGATACAAATCACTATTATTTTTATCGATCAATATTAATACAAAATAAAGACATTGATATTAAACATTTAATTTAAAAATATGATTGATAAATTGTAGAGTTTATTCTCTGTATTTATTATTAATCTAATATTATTAGTTCTTACATGAAGAAAAGTTTAACTTTTGAATTTTACATGAGAAAATATTTGTAAAATACTATGTACTATTTATTAAAATTTCAATGATGTTAAAATTTTTTCATATAAAGACCAAACGAAAAGATAACATGTTAAGTTTATTATGAATTAACAAATCAAATTCTTTTTATACGAGAATGTAAATTTGAGTTTGGAAGCTTCAATTTTCTAAATCCATATGACTCATTTATTATCGGATCCTTCCAACTATCCATTTTCGTTATACATGACATGTCTGTTTTATCTTTTTTGTTGTAGGCATGGACTGGAGGAGGAAACAATTATCCACGTATTGCATGACTGTGCCAAGGCGAGGCAAATTTGGTCCAAACTTAAAGG